ACACACACACACACACACACACACACACACACACACACACACACACAAGAGCACAAGATATAGGAGCAGAATTAAGCCATTCAATCATGGATATTATGTTTCTCAACCCCATTCTCTCGTATTCTCCCTATGATCCCCTTACTAATCAAGAACCTATCTGTCTTAAATACCTTCAAAGATCTGGCCTTCACAGCCTTCTGTGGCAATGAATTCCACAGTACCACCACCCTCTGGCTGAAAATAATCCTCCTCATCTCAGTTCTAAACGCTCATCCCTTCATTCTGAAGCTGTGTCCTTGGGTCCTAGTCTCTCCTACTGGTGGAAACATCTACTCCAAGTCTATTCTATCCAGGTCTCTCAGTATTTATGCATGATTTGTAGTAAAACTTTTACAGAATGTTCCCAAGAAAAGATAAAAGTAATGACCAAGATATCAATGTAGAGAAACATCTCAGGCATGATCGAATGGCAGAGCAGACTTCATGGGCCGACTGGTCTAATTCTGCTCCTATATCTTATGGTTGGCCAAATTAATGTTTTTTTTTGCATTATACCCTCTTAATTATACACATTTACCAAAAAGAAAAAAATGTCTGGCAGGCATTAAATCTGTTTTCAAAGTAACTCTTGCAAATGAGCATAGCAATTATGTATGTTTCATGGTTATTTTAACAGCATTTTTTTTGTGCAAGGAAGTGAACCCAATGAGAGTTGAAATGACAATGTAGTATGAGAACACAGGTAGAGGTGCTGGATTTTCTTTCCCAACTGTTGTAGGCAAAGATGGTTCTGGCACTGCTAACAAGTAGGGAGTTCCAGAATTTTAACCAAAGGATGATGACAGAATGGCAATATTTTCCCAATTCAGAGTCATGACTACCATAAATTGTAGACATTTCAATACAGCAAGAAGTCACTCATTAATTTCTTAGAAATTACCGTAAGTGTTTTTCTGACATATTCTCTGAATTATTATCTAGGCCTCTGGGTTACTAACCAATCCAGTCTCCTTTTTCAGTGATTGTAGTTTTGTAAGCAAACACATTATGCAGAGGAAAAAAACCAATAAGACTATACCAACATACAAACAAGGAACAAGAGTAGTTCACTCTGCCCTTCGAGCCTGCTCCGTTATTCAATTAGATCATGATAATCCGATTTGAACCTCAACTGCATATTCTTGCATGACAACTAAAAACTTTTCATGCAATTGATAACCAAGAATTTATCTACACTGCTTTAAAAATATTTAAAGGTTCTGCATCCACTGACTTTTGAGGAATTCCAAAGATTCATAAACATCTGAGAGAAAAACATATTTCCTCTTCACTGTTTTAAATGAGCAACCCCTTATTTTTAAACTAGACACCCAGTTCTAGATTGTCCCACAAGAGGAAATATCCTTCCATCCTCCATCCACTCAAATCCCCTCAGGATCTCATATGTTTTCATTAAGTCCCCCTGACTCTTCGAAACTTCAGTGGATATGGTGCAGCCTGTCTAGCCTGTGTCATAAGACAGTTTGTTCATTTCCAGGTTTTAGTCTAGTAAACCTTCTGGAACAGCATCCAACACATTTAATATTCTTCCTTAGGCACAATGACCTGTACTGTGCACTGTACTGAGATGCAGTCTCACAAGTGCTGTGTATAACTAATATGTAATATTTGGAAGTGAATGTAGTGATTGTATTGGACCTCCATTTTGAAGTATGGAAGGCCAGTTGGATAGTGTGTCTTATTCACCAGTTTTACTAAGTTTTCCTTTCAAATGTTGTAAAGCTTGAGGGCTGTCTTAGTGAGAAAGAATTCACCTCTTTTCTCCTCCAGATCTTTGCAAATGATTTTATAACTGTGACCACTAATTGCTAACTCGCTCAGCAGAGGGAATAATTTCCTCCATTTACATTATTAAAAGCCTGTCTGTCTTGAATGATTCTATAGGTCTCATCTTAACTTCTCTTACAAGGAGAACAGTCACAACTTTTCCAACTTTTCCTCATAATTGAGGTCCCTCAATCCCTGCTAATATTCTTGGAAACCTCCTCTGTACCCTTTTTAAGGCCTGAAGTATATCGCCCAGAAATATACCAGCTGAGGTCTAACTAGAGATTTTCAAAGGTATAAAATAAAACTTCATACTTCTGGATTTTTCTCTATTTAAAATTCCAAGTAACGTGCATATTTATTTAATCAATTTATCAACTTGTCCGTTCCCTTCAATGATTTATGTGTATGGATGTTAATGTTTCTATGTTCATACACGATGTACAAAGTCATGCCATTTGTAGAATACCGTTTCTTCATATTAGTCCTCTAAAGTGCAGCATTACATACTTCTTCGTATTGAACTCCATCTGTGGTGTTTCTGTCCATTTTACCATCCTTTTTACACTATCATACTGAAGGCTATAAGCTTCCTTATTATAATCAACTGCATCACTAAGTTTTGAATCATCTGAAAACTTTATAATACTGTTCACACACCTAAGACTATAGAGTTTATTGAAATTGAAGAGTGATAGACCCAAAACAGATCATTATAAAAATACCACTGCAAACTACCTCAGTCTGGTAAACATCCATCTATCCATCAATAAATGTGGAGTGTGGAGCTGGAAAAGCACAGCAGGTCAGACTGCATCCAAGGAGCAGGGAAGTCAACTTTTCAGGCCAAAATCCTTCGTCAGGACTGGGAATGGGGAGGGACACCCAGAAATAAATAGAGGGAGGCGGTGGGGCTGGGTGAAGGGTAGATGGGATGGAGATAGGTGGATGCAGATTAGGGGTTATTGTGTTTGGTCAGTGAGAAGGGTGAAGTGGATAGGTGAGTTGGAAGATGGACATGTTGGGGGTGGAGAGATTTTGAAGTCAATAATCAGGCCATTGGGCTGTAAGCTCCCAAGGTGAATTATCAGGTGTTATTCCTCCAGTTTATATTTGGCCTCACTCTGACAGTGGAGACCGTAGTTTCCCCAAACTTTGTGATTAAGGATGCCCGCAACTGTCTCTACCCGATTTCCCATGCTTCTTCCCTCAAACCCTCTCCCCCAACATCAATAAGGATAGAGTCCCCTTAGTCCTCACATACCATCCCATCAACCTCTGAATACAAAGCATCATCCTCCGACATTTCTGCCACCTACAATCAGACCCTACCACCAAAAAGATATTTCCCTTCCCACCCTTGTCTGATTTCCACAGGGACTGTTCAATCCACGACTCCCTCGTCAGCTTCACACTCTCCACCACCCTTCCACCACACCCGGTACCTTTCCCTGCAACCGCAGGAGGTGTTACACCTCCTCTCTCACTCCCGTCCAAAGCCCCAAACAATCCTTCCAAATTCAGCAGAGATTCACCTGCACTTCATCTACTGTATCCGTTGCTCCCAATGTGGTCTCCTCTATACTGGGGAGACCAAACGCAGACTCGGGGGTCAGTTTGCGGAGCATCTCCGCTCTGCACACACCAGTCAACCTGACCTTCCGGTTGTCATTCATAGAATCATAGAATCCCTACCGTGTAGAAACAGCCATTCGGCCCAACAAGTCCACACTGCCCCTCCGAAGAGCATCCCACCCAGACCCATTCCCTGTAACCCAGCATTTCTAATGTCTAATCCACCTAATTTACACACCCCTGGACACTACGGGCAATTCAGCATGGCCAATCCACCTACCCGTAACATGTTTGGACTGTGAGAGGAAACCAGAACACCCGGAGGAAATCCCTGCAGACACAGGGAGAATGTGCAAACTCCACACAGTCGCCCAAAGGTGGAATCGTGAGGTGTTGTGAGGCAGCAGTGCTAACGACTGACCCACCATGCAGCCCCACTTTAACTCTTTAACTCTCTTTAACTTCACTTTAACACCCCCTCCCACTCCCTTATTGACATGTTCATCCTTGGCCTCCTCCACTGTCAGAGTGAGGCCAAACGTAAACTGGAGGAACAACACCTGATATTTCACCTTGGGAGCTTACAGCACAATGGCCTGAATATTGACTTCAAAATCTCTCCACCTCCAACATGTCCATCTTCTGACTCACTTATCCGCTCCACCCTTCCCACTGACCAACCACAATAACACTCTACCTGCATTCCCCTATCTCCATCCCACCTACCCTACCCCCAGCCTCACCCTCTCTTCTAATTATGTCTGGGCTCCCCACCCCCTTCCCAGTCCTGACAAACAGCTTCAGCCTGAAACATTGACTTCCCTGGTCCTCAGATGTTGTCCAACCTGCAGTGCTTTTCCAGCTCCACATTTATTGACTTTAGCTTCCA